TACGTGGTGGAGTGTCAGACAGTATGTTGTCTGTTACGTGGTGGAGTGTCTGACAGTATGTTGTCTGTTACAGTTAACAAACACTTAACAAATAAACCTGCCACTATCCATCTGTATGTTTTTATTATCAGCAGTCGTGTGCGTCGGGGACCGAGGGAGGCTGCACAGAAAGCTGCCGTTGCCCGGTAGAAAACGGAGCTGCTGGGAATGTCATCTCTTGCTGCGTTCACTTGTACTCAGACATCAGAGTTTCGAACTAGCCCCACCTTTTATATCTACATCTTTTTAATAAGACTGTCCAAAACTAGAGTAGCAGTTGGGGTGGAAAGGCATTGCCTCCTTGCCACCCCTTGGAATCTTTACATAGCAGCAGGTTATTTTAGCACCTAGCTTGACTAAGGCCTTGATCTCACCAATACACGTCACAACAGATGCGCTGCTTCAAAAACTTCCTTTAGCAAATCGCGTCAGACAAATCAGCCGATGAGCCTGTGCAGTGGAGGTGCATGTGCTACCGGACATCAAATGTAATTAACATTAAAAAATGAATCAAGCAGATATCGAGCCCTTGCTGTTGTTTTGCTATTGGATGAGGAGGAGATAAAAAAAAAAAATGATATAGCTCATTGTAGGTCAAAACCGTTATATCAAACTTTCATCTGTTTTTGCCATTGTTCGTTCCTACCACATCTACCGCCATCAAAACAGTAAGGCAGTGATAAAGTAGTACTGCCCGCCTTTTGCTTGATTAGGCAGCCTAGGTCAAGACTGACTTTGATGAGCCTGGTGCTGGAAAGTTGAGGATATTTGAACTTTAATGCAGGTTTAGAAACTGACAGAAAAACGTGATGTGCCGTGCAAGAGAGGAGCATGGTAAAGCAATGGTTTCGCATTTGACATTTTTTTTGGGCGACGCGTTTCTAGGGTCCTGTGCCTATGGTGTGTGAATGTTAGTCAGTCCTGATGGGCATGGTAGCCACTGCCATCAGTGTGTGAATGGGTGAATGATGACATGTAGTGTGAAATACAAGTACAGTCCATTTACAGTCCATAAACTCAAACAGAAGTTTTATTTTTCAGACTTAGTTATAAGGCTGCAGGTCTTGATCTCTCTCTCACGCACATCAAATCTACTTTAAAATGAACAGTGAGACTTTAAAGTTTAGTAGATTATGGGTCAACACACGTCTCTCACTCGTTTCGGTTTCGTTGTGGTCTGTTGTCTCACTAGAAGCTCTGCTGGAGGCTAAAGTCTCTCACACTGGAGAGTATTATTTATGCTTTTGTTCGTTTACAGTTTTTGTGTGGACTTCACAATAGTTGTGCAGAATAAAATAGGCGTTGATAAGAAAAGGAAAGTCCTCTGTTTTGTTACCATCGTCTTCCTCAAAGCAGCAAACCGTCACTTCAGACGTCCGCTCCGTAGTGCTGATAACAGCGGATGGACACGCCGCTCACTAATCGCTCCAATAACAGCTGCTTCCTCCGCATGTCGACAGTAGTAGAATTATAAAAGGCAGAATTTAACTGCACAACAGCTGCTAGCACAGCAAAGCATTATCTATGTTGAAACTAATCACTGGTAGACCTGGCTGTTTGTTTTCTTCTGGAAAACAGTCATGTGATAGGGGCGTGACAAATCAGGGAAGGACATGTCGCGACTGCAAAGACCCATCAAGTAACAAACGCAGGTGTCTACATCATCGTTTATAAACTTATGCGGTTCGGCCTGTCCACAGTAGGAGGTAACCCCAGAGTTTTCAGTGCTGGAGCAGTGTGGACGCTCAGTGTAAACGTAGCAAAAGAAATGCGTTTTAGAAATGGAGAAGTAGTAGTGTTGATGCAGCCAAAGTCTTGCCTAGCCTCACACCTCCTCCTCTCACACATATGCACTCAGACATGCATAAGGACATTCAATCTTTTATTCAACTTTTCTTTTTATCTTCATGCTTTCTTATTCAAAAAACCTCTCTCTCTCAAATTCAAATGTATTTATTAGCCTGATAGATCGGAAACCTATATTGCCACAGACACACTCTCGCTTCTGATCAGCTGATTAGAAATCCATCAATTTCTCCCTCTGTCTGTGATCAGCATTAGCACTGGTGGAATATAACAAAGTACATTTACTCAAGTACTCTACTTAAGTACAATTTTGGGGTCCATTTTATGCTACTCTATAGTTCTACCGCATTTCAGTAGTGTCCTTTTTACTATACTGCAGTTATCTGACAATTTTATTTACTTCTTATTATGCAGATACAGCTCACACAAAAAAATTAACTAATAAATAATGATGTATAATTATAGATTGAGCTAATAAGTGACATTATTGTGTCATCAACAGCTATGCCCAATCATGACTCAACTAACTAACTCATTAACTCACTATCTCTATCTGTTTCTCACACACACACACACACACACACTGAAAGACAAACTTGGACAAACTTTACAGCGGCCATATATTCCCAGCAGCTTCGGACTCTGCATTTTTTCGGCCGCATGCTCTCGCTTGAATTAATATGGCTGAATATCCGAGTCAGCCAACACACTGTAAAATGTATCGTCATTTATACCAGAGGTCCTCAACCTTTTTTGCACCACGGACCGGTTTCATGTAAGACAATATTTTCACGGACCGGCATTCAAGGTGTGGCGGAAAAACACTATGAAATAAAATGATATGATCGGCATGAAAACAAATATAAAATGCATAAATAAATACAACTCACAATAACGCTGAATCAGTGGGAGCCCTGAGCTTGTTTCTGTGCAACGAGACGGTCCCATCTGGGGGTAATGGGAGACAATGACACCCGAAGTGTGTTCCTTATGTCCAGTCTACTCTGTGATTTTGTTTTGATTGCCGTCACTGCAGAACATCCCGCTTCACAAAGAGGATGTGTGAAATGGAAGCAGGGTTTTCAGTGCTTTAGTGGAGATCTCAGGATATTCAGCCTTGATTTTAATCCTAAACACCAGCACGCCCAACTGGTTACCGAGAGAAATCCAAGCTGAAATAGCAGACTGTATTTCTTCCTTGCCACCAACCACATCACTGCCTCCTCAAATTTTGACTCTGTATGTTAACAACCTAGAACAATGTTTTATTATTAATTTCCGTCTCCCCCCTTATTTGTCAACTGCACATTTACAATAACACTCTCACATCACTCTAGAAAACCAGCTTTACACTGATCTGAAGTGTTTGTGCTCACCTCTCCCTACATATAAATATTTGAAAATGCGTGTTTTATACGTTGTATTTTTGTGTGGATGGGTTGTTGTGTTGAAGTGTAGCTAGGCATTATGACTGCTGCGTCTACTATTACCTTTTCCTGTAGCAGAAAGTAACTCACATTGTTCCTTTGTTCCCCCTTAAGGTCTCAGGAAAATATCTCATTAGATCCCATCGATTGTGTGTCCAGGACCAAGCAGCAGGTCTTTACAAACTCTCACAACTTCTCTCTGGATATTCGGATGCCTGGTGTTGTCCCAACTGAGGTAAGTCTGTGTCTCTGAAACATACTACTTAAGGTTCTGCATCTTTTCACTTCAATAGCTCACCATTAGAGCTTAAACCATAGGTTAACGTGCCTATTAAACCCTTCAAATCCACTTTTTGTCCCCATTGCTATTCTGTGGCCCTCGTGGCATTTAAATAGTCATAACCAGCCTCTCTGCTGTTGTGTCAAAGCAGAAAAAGCTAAACTTACATGTCGTCTTTGGAATGTAGCCTAGAAACTATTCACGAACAAAATCAAAACTACAGTGGAAATCTTTCAACATCTGACGTCATTTTTTTTATTCTATATCCTATGCTGTACTGTTGGCATTTTGGCAAAATTTCTGAAAGTGCGGAAATTTTTATAAAGATTTCTAAATGCCGTCTGACTGAAACAATAACGGTTTGCAGATTCAATACTAATGTCCCAAGGATTGTTAATCAGTCAATTTCAGGATTTACAATTAAATATTATTGATTATTTTTTTTTGTGAAATTTGTTTTAGACTTTTTGCCAGAAATGAGAGATTTAGCATTATTCCCTCCCCGTACAGACACCATGCTTCTATCATGCGTGAGCATGAACTATAGTCATCTCAAACTAAAACTCATCTTAAAAGGAAATATGAAAAGTTATTACTAGTGTTACGATAGAATGTAGGTCAAATGGGCATAATGGGAACATCAGTGAATTTATGGTTCAAAGAATATTTTATTCCACACACAACATTAAAAAAACAACTAGTCTTTCAACTGAAAGAACTCTATAAATGGTGCACTGACACAAAATGAAAAGTATAAATTGATCATGCAGAGAAGTAATTTGCTCGCTCAAACACAGTCAAACACACGCTTACACCCAAAGGACCACAATGGAAACAAGCTCTTGGGCTTGTGTTTATCCTTTTGACAAAATGTATACAATATAATGCCTCCTAGTGAGTCTATGCATATATTATTAGGACCTATTATTTTCTAATGTTTATAATTATTATTGTACGTGTTACGTCGCAAAAAGGAGGTGCTTGAGATACTGGTAAGATTTTGAAATTTGGCATGCAAGGCAGTCGTGGCGAAAATTGTAGTCTGATTGGGGTGTCCAGTTACGTTATGAAAAATCGGCTCAATTGCGCCCCCTTTTAAGTTGCCCCAACATTGGGTTTCACCCAGCTGTATGACATTTTGTAGGTATGTGTAATTTAATGTGACGTACAAAAGATCCTCTTGGAAGTATGCCCTAAACCAAACAGAAAGTCAGCCATTTTTTATTTTATGATGTTTTTGGACCATTTCAAGCCTTCATCCTTTAACAAACTCCTCCTAGAGATTTAACCCAATTGACTTCAGATTTGGTCAGTATGCTCTTGAGACCTTGGCAGTGAAAAGTTACTCAAAGATCAAAAAGTTATCGAACTATGTATCCGTGGCATGGCAGCAAAAAAACACCATTCGCCATGAAACAGGAAGTTATTGTAACTCGGCATTGTCTAATCTGCTCCGAATTTTTATTTTTATTATTTTTATTATTTTGAATTTTTTTTGAATTTTATTATACTATATTGATCCCGGAAGGGGAAATTTCTCATATGTCATAACATCCTGAGTCAGAACACATCTATATGACAATTAGAATCATAGTAATAGCGCCACCTAGTGGCAACAGGAAGTTGTAAGTTGTGTACTTTGACATCCTGCTCCTCACAGATTAATCAGATCCCTCTCAAATGTTGTCAGAACAGCCTTAAGACCTTGGTAATGCTTCATTGTGAAAATTGTAAGAAGTTGTTGAAGGGCGGCGACGTGGCGGCTCGGCGAATTTCGATCCTTCGCCATGAACGAATAAACTGATGTAACTCGACTCCACATCGTCAGATCTTTACCAGATTTCACATGTTTGATTAGACTCCAGTCCTGAAGACATCCAAAGGCCAATTATGTATAATACTCATATCGCCACCTACTGGTAACAGGAAGTTAAAGTCTTTATACTTTGGCTTGTTTCTCTTAGTAGGTAAATCAGATCAACATCAAATTAGTTCCACACAAATGTAAGAAGTTCATAATGCCAGTTCATGAAGCTTTTGATGTTTCGTCAAACGCCGTTGCCGTGGCGACGCAGTCTTCACAATGAAAAACGAAGGTGCTTTTGATGGGCTAAAAATGTTCGAAACATAAGAAAACTTGGCACACAGATTTAAACCCCAAAATGTAGTTATATAATATGGTTTTAATGCTTCAAAGTGTCAAATCGGCTACAAAATTCTGACGAAGCAGCCCTCGCAGTACGTTTCACATAGATTTACAAAATTTGGTCGGCACATGTATCACATTTTGACTTTAAAAAAAGTATCTTGGGGCCATGCTCTAAACCCAATCGGAAGTCAGACATTTTGAATTTTGTATGAATTTCTAGTGTCGTTTTTGCTATTTCTAGACGCTGTACTTTAACGGACTCCTCCTAGGGAATTAATCAGATCAACTTCAAATTTGGTCAGAACAATCTAAAGACCTTAGTGATTAAAAGTTACTAAAAACTTTAGGTTTCATCGAACGACGTGGACGTGGTGTGGCACCCATTTTACATGGTTCACCATCATCCATCAAGCTGTTGTAACTCGACTGGACTTTGTCAAAACTGTCCCAAACTTGACATGCTTGATGACTGTCATGACTTTCGGACTTCTGCATGCCAATATTAACTCATTGTCATAGCGCCACCTACTGATAAGCACGGACGTAAGCAGGATTCTATAATTACAGCGGCCCAAACACTGAACTTATTAAAAGGGTTCGTGGGCACAACCCCAGAAAAAGACTTCTCTGATCTAAATATGTGCAAACTAAGATATTTAGAGAGCAGAAATTGGATAAGAGGTTTCCAAATCGCGCTTGTACGTGGAGTTTTCATTAATAGTAAATTTAATTGTTTTTGTTTTGGAGCCAGGCGATAATGTAAAGTAATTTGAACAAGTGAAGTTTGTTTCATAAAATCAAACGGCACCTAGCCTAATTTATGATAGATTATTCTGATGATATTTTTTTTCCACATGAAACTATACATTCTCCTATTTCTCCTCGACTCTTCCAGCTTTGAGTCACTCAGCAGTGATTGTCAGAGCTACCTGCACAAACAGTCGGTTTTGAGACCTGCATTTACTTTGAAAGTCTGTTATGTTACAAACACTGAAGCGCATTCAGACACATTCAGGTTTTTGTTGATTTTTACAGGGTGACAGTTATGATTGTATTCGGAGATACACTCAAAACATTCGAGGCTTAAGACCTGGCTACGCCATTGGTCGACACAGGAAATACCGTTTAACTCGTGCACGCATTGTATGATGGTCACAGAAATGCATGCCCACGTCACCCAGAGTCCTGCTGCTTGCAATTTAAATTTATTTATATACTGTATTTCATATTTCAAAGATGCTTTTTCGCCGCCACGGCAACATAGTTGCACCAAAACTGAAAAGCATTGCAGTTTATTATCGCAACGGTCTTAAGACGCAACTGACCAAAGTTTAAGTTGATTTGGTGAAATGTCTAGATGGAGTTGGTTCATGTACAGTGCCTGGAAATGGGGAGAAAGCTAATTCAATTGAAAATGGCTGACTTCCTGTTGGGTTTAACCTCTAAGAGGCTTTTTTGAACGTCTCCACATTAATATGATAATACTAATAAACATTCAAATTTCAATAGGTCCTGGATTCAGCCTTAATCATCTTTAGTTTCAATAGGGTCCTCGCTGACCCTTTTTCAAGCTCTATAGACATACACGCTGTCTATTTAACAGTATAATAATATAAACTACATACAACAATGTGAAAGAATACGTCCTTTACCAGAGCAAGACCAAACTCATCAGGTGGGTTCTTGTTAGCTTGTAGACAATTTCTACTTCAGGAACTTTTAATGTGGTGAAGGAATTTTCAATCAATCACCTTACCTATGTATATAATAGGGAACAGCCATAGTGTAAAATATTTATCTTTATATCATAAAGTTTGCTGCTGAACATTTCAGCAATTGATGGCTTGTTTCTTAAATGTTTCAGTCGGACACTTACCTGTGCACAGCATTTTCTCTGCCAACTAGTCGAGATGCATATATTGGTGAGTATATCTTCTTTCAAATATTTTGAGTTGACATATGACGTAAAGTATTTAGGCCTACTCCTAAAGTAAAAATCATTGGTAACTTCATGGACTAGATGGTACTTTTTTGGGAGATGTACACTGCAGTATAAGATGCCAGAGTAAGAGCAGCAGTAAAAGTAATAGTTGTTTTAGAAGTAGCACCAACAGTTGTAGCAGACATTGTCATGGTAGTAGAAGTAGAATAGTGGTATAAGTAATAACATAAGTCATAGCAACAGTATTAGCTGTTTTTCTAATGAAAATGTTCAAAGTCATTTGTACATGATGAGTTTGGGCAGGACACAAACCTGTGTGATGTAAAATCACAATATGGCATTTTTTAGGGATGTAGGGATATTTTATTTTTCCCTTTCTCCAGCCTGACTGTTAATGACACTGTGGTCAGTCTGTTTGCACAAGGAAGGCCTTCAATATGTGTTTAGTCCAGTGTGAACTTTGTTGTCCTTGATCCGAGGGGAACAATAACACGAACATGAATGTTTTTCATTACAGAACAGTCGTATCATTTAGTTTACAACTCAAAAAACATGTGTAAGTGTGCAGTACCTCTTAAACTATTTTAACCACACTGCTTTTCTTCCTCAGTGGACTTCATGCCTCATGCCAATATGGACACAGTTCATCACATGCTTCTGTTTGGCTGCCAGACTCCGGTGTCCTCCAGCAGCTACTGGTAATTTCCAATTTCAGCACCGGGGCAGTGTTACAGAGACTGTTCCATCATCATTAATAATCATAGCAGTATCCCCAGCACATCCTGTCGCAGCTACTGGCAGGGTTGTACAGCAGTGTTCTTTATTTTATGAGTGGTGTGCCAAACACCAGCAGTAAGTATTACATCAAATTTCAAAGCTGGTTAAAATAACTTCCAGGATGACATGTAGTGAAAGTCGAGTGCAAGTCAAAACTCACTGGGGTTTTCACAATCAATCCACTGCTATGTCATTTTCTCTTAAAACTAAAAATTGTATACAAGTGGGGCAAAAAAGTATTTAGTCAGCCACCAATTGTGCAAGTTCTCCCACTTAAAAATATGAGAGAGGCCTGTAATTTTCATCATAGGTACACTTCAACTATGAGAGACAAAATGAGAAAAAAAATCCAGAAAATCACATTGTCTGATTTTTAAAGAATTTATTTGCAAATTATGGTGGAAAATAAGTATTTGGTCAATAACAAAAGTTCATCTCAATACTTTGTTATATACCCTTTGTTGGCAATGACGGAGGTCAAACGTTTTCTGTAAGTCTTCACAAGCTTTTCACACACTGTTGCTGGTATTTTGGCCCATTCCTCCATGCAGATCTCCTCTAGAGCAGTGATGTTTTGGGGCTGTCGCTGGGCAACACGGACTTTCAACTCCCTCCACAGATTTTCTATGGGGTTGAGATCTGGAGACTGGCTAGGCCACTCCAGGAACTTGAAATGCTTCTTACGAAGCCACTCCTTCGTTGCCCGGGCGGTGTGTTTGGGATCATTGTCATGCTGAAAGACCCAGCCACGTTTCATCTTCAATGCCCTTGCTGATGGAAGGAGGTTTCCACTCAAAATCTCACGATACATGGCCCCATTCATTCTTTCCTTTACACGGATCAGTCGTCCTGGTCCCCTTGCAGAAAAACAGCCCCAAAGCATGATGTTTCCACCCCCATGCTTCACAGTAGGTATGGTGTTCTTTGGATGCAACTCTGCATTCTTTTTCCTCCAAACACGACGAGTTGAGTTTTTACCAAAAAGTTCTATTTTGGTTTCATCTGACCATATGACATTCTCCCAATCCTCTTCTGGATCATCCAAATGCTCTCTAGCAAACTTCAGACGGGCCTGGACATGTACTGGCTTAAGCAGGGGGACACGTCTGGCACTGCAGGATTTGAGTCCCTGGTGGCGTAGTGTGTTACTGATGGTAGCCTTTGTTACTTTGGTCCCAGCTCTCTGCAGATCATTCACTAGGTCCCCCCCCCGTGTGGTTCTGGGATTTTTGTTCACCGTTCTTGTGATCATTTTGACCCCACGGGGTGAGATCTTACGTGGAGCCCCAGATCGAGGGAGACTATCAGTGGTCTTGTATGTCTTCCATTTTCTAATAATTGCTCCCACAGTTGATTTCTTCACACCAAGCTGCTTACCTATTGCAGATTCAGTCTTCCCAGCCTGGTGCAGGTCTACAATTTTGTTTCTGGTGTCCTTTGACAGCTCTTTGGTCTTGGCCATAGTGGAGTTTGGAGTGTGACTGTTTGAGGTTGTGGACAGGTGTCTTTCATACTGATAACGAGTTCAAACAGGTGCCATTAATACAGGTAACGAGTGGAGGACAGAGGAGACTCTTAAAGAAGAAGTTACAGGTCTGTGAGAGCCAGAAATCTTGCTTGTTTGTAGGTGACCAAATACTTATTTTACCGAGGAATTTACCAATTAATTCATTAAAAATCCTACAATGTGATTTCCTGGATTCTTGCCCCTCATTCTGTCTACCCTAAGTGTACCTATGATGAAAATTACAGGCATCTCTCATCTTTTTAAGTGGGAGAACTGGCACAATTGGTGGCTGACCAAATACTTTTTTGCCCCACTGTAACTTGGTGAAAAGGTGCCAGTTCCTCTTTTTGTCAGGGCAGTAGAAACCACTTATAGAGACGACGTCTGTTGGGGTCAAGTTGATCACTATAAGGCAGAGGTGTCAAACTCATTTTCACTCCGGGCCACATCAGCATCATGGTTTCCCTCAAAGGGCCGGTTGTAACTGTAAGACTGTATAACTGTAACTACTCCTAACATATTGTTAAATAACTGTCTCTGCTTTTGATTATTGTTTATTCAAGTGTTAAAATATTGTACATGTAGTTATATAAATGTAAAATGATATTTAAACACATTTCTGTTATTATAACATAAATCATTTTAATTTAGGGTTAGGAAACCCACATTACTCTATCAAAGATCAAACTATTAAAGAAAATAACAAAGACGTATATCATCAAACACAAGTTATTACATTAACTTTGTTCAAAGCTATTTTTGTCACCTCTCTGCATCACTAATGTCCCTCCCTGCCGTCGTCCCGTGCATGGCAGCTACATCCAAGAGCTCCTCACAGAGTCAGGTCTGCCTTGAGCCTCTTACAAACACTGATAGATGATGTATCTCGTCTCTTAGCTAGCTGTGTTGTTAGATTGCTGCTAGTTCCTGAACTCGGTCTGCGCTGGTGTTTCTTCACAAACTGACATTTGTAAAAGTCTGTATCTGATCGGAGCTCACCTGCTCACATACCTTTAGCATGCACTGGGCTGTAGCTTCTGTAAATATATTCTGCTGTGATTGCACTCTGCCTTTTAATTCTTGGACAATTTGATGTTGTTCTTGGAGGCTAAATTTAGCTCCGTGTTTGGTGTCAAAATGCCGACGTGAATTGTATCCTTCATCACCGACACGCATCATAGCACAGAAGACAGACCCATTTTTCTCCTTGAAGCACAGACATGTATTCGCTTTCCCATCTTCAATTACATTTTCTTCCCTCTGCATCAATTTTTCTCTTCGTGGACATTTTGGGATTATTTGTCGATCTTTTTCAACTCAATCACTTGTTGGAAAACCTCTTTACGGGCTGTTCCCTCTCCTGTCCACCTGTTTTTAAAAAAGAGGTAATAACTAATTAACCATATTGTTACCAAGTGACTGTTAGGAGGACAAGTAATCAATGTCCAGCCACGGTGATAATACTTCACAACATGCTATCTCATAATTTCGACCATGGGGATATTTTTATTTTCAAGTCTAACTTTTAATTTCTTTTCCAAAATAAAAAAAAAATTTTGTTTTTTTTTGCTGGTGGATTCGCGGGCCACATAAAATGACGTGGCGGGCCGGATTCGGGCCGCGGGCCTTGAGTTTGACACGTGTGCTATAAGGGGATGATTATTAGAATATTTGAAGACATGAATACAAAGTAATGAAATGGTCAGTTTCGCCAGTCACTGGCTTGCTGCCAATTCTTCTGCACTTTCCCTCACCAAGGGCTTGCTATGACATTTTTTGGTTGGCTCTGTGTCACTGCAGTGTGGGTGGTGCATGCAGATGAATGGAAAAGTGGGAGCAGGGGTTCATATTCTGGAGGGGTGATAAGCTAATTGCTTGGTCGAACAGGTTCTGATGGAAAGCTTTCCAAGCTTGATAGACGCCACAAGTGATGAGCGGCACATCTCACTCCAAACATTGCGGGACACCATTCAACAGAAGACATGTAGTGGATCCCATTCAAAGTGATCTGAGCAGCATTCAGAATTCCTTAGCTACATTGGTAGAACAAGTTGGCTAATGAGGATGATGTGCAGGAGATTGTTGCTTGGGTTCAACTAGAGCAGTGGTTCTCAAACTTTTTCTGTCACGCCCCACTTTGGAGGAAGAAAAATGTTCATAACCCACCGCCCAAATTGTAACAAAATGGTTCATGTTTAACTTTTATTGAAATAACAACATTTTGTGACTCCTCCATCTGTGCTTTTTCAAATAATAGAATAAAGAAAATTGCAATCACTTTCAAGTAAACCAGATTGCTCCATCAGACAAAAACAAATAAAATGTGCAATCGCTTTGTTAGAACAATGCAAATAAAGTTCTATCTGTGCAAAAAAGAACTCGTATTTGCCAAAAAATAGCTTATTGTGGCTGCAATTCACCTGTTTTGCACTGAATATCTTTTCAAGATAATAACAATAAAGTGCAACCTGTGAAAAACAAAACAAAAACACTTAAAATATTTGGCAATAAAGAGTTTCACTGAGTTTTACACTGCATATCTTTTCAAAACAACAATAAAGTGCAACCTGTGCAAAACAAAATGAGTGCAGATATGTGTGAGCCATCAAGTGTTATCAGTATTAGTGGCTGCAATGAGCTGCTTTCCACTACAGATCTTTTTAAAACGGGGTTGCAGACTTGATACGGCCACTCTCACCTCATGCTCAATGTTGAGCTGAGATCTGTATTTTGTTTTGAGAGAAGCAACAGCAGAAAAGCGCTTCTCTGGTTATGACACAGTGTGTCCATTGCGCATTTGGAGAGACACTCTTTATCAGCACCTGTAAGCCCTTCTTTTTCCCTGTCATGGTCTGCGCACCATCTGTGCAGAAACACACACAATTCTCCCATTTCAGCCCGTGTTCTGTCAGGTAAGCCTAAAGAGCTCATCAGCTGTTGCTCTGCTTGCAACGCACTTGCAAAACCACAAATCCTCACTCAGTGACCCCGATGTGACAAAGCGAACATAAGCAATAAGCAAGCAGTCTTTATTGCTGTCAGTAGCCTCGTCCTGTAAGGCAAAACATGTGTCTGTCAGTTGTTCAGTGAGTTGTTCCTCGAGATCATTTGAAATGTCACTTATCCGTCTTGCAACTGTGTCATTGGACAGAGGGATAGTCTTCAATTTTGCGGCGCTTGTCTCATCAAGCATCGTTGAAACCAGTATTATGAGCTCCTCGGCGATGGTGTGTGGTTTCTTGCACTGCGCAATTTTGTATGCAACCTTGTGTGATGCCAGTTGTGCTTTGTTGGTTACTGATGCCACTTCTACAAAGTGATTTGCCTGCTTGCGGTATTCACCAAGTTTCCTCTGAAAGAACTCCAGTGGCTTATCGACATGAGTGTGGTGTAATGTCTCCAAGTGTCTTTTTA